TGCCCCCATGGATGTTGGTGCCCTTGGACAAATGCCTGTTCTGCCTATGCTAGTTATAGTTCTGCTTTGACTTGTAGTCGTGTTACTTACTATTCAGTGCCCTTAGGAATAAATGTGGACTACAAATCCATGCTGTGGTATTTACCGATTATTTCTTTATGAAATTCAAAATATTTGAGAGGGAAAAACATAGCTAGCTGGTTTAAACTTTGGTTAAATGTCCCACTTGACTGATTTCCAAGAAAAACTGAGATCACTGAGGTGCACTTTCTCAAAGTTTTTATGACAATCCCTCTGGGTCTCAGTTTCCTTGCCTGTAAAATGAGCTTTGGATTAGGTCTTATTGGATTAGGTCTCTATTAGCTTTAAATCTGATGAGTTCACCTCCTTAGGTTGTTGTAAGTAAATGCTATATAATTATGAGTTACTGTTGAGTCTTAGCTCTATTTACTCTCTATGCTGAACCAAATACTTATCTTCACTTTTCTTTTTCTTTCTCCCTCCCCAACTTTTTCACCCCAGAAAGTCTGCAGACAATCAAGGGTCAGAAAGCTCTAGGCCTTAGATTTATGGGGAGGAGGAAGAAGAAGGAACAAGGGCTTCCCAGACAGCGCTGTCATATACAATAGCCAGCTCCTGGTGTGTCTGTTTTTTTGTTGGTTGGTTGGTTTGCTTTTTTATACAACATCACATGATCTAATCATAGGAATAACTAGAGCTGGGGGAAAGAAAGCAAAAGCCTTCTTGGGGAAAAGCAATTAAAATTCCAGCCACAATCTTTTCAGCAAGAAGTGGAGAACGCTTGTCAGCACAAGAAAAACATGATACCCTCAAGGATCATAAATTTTAAAGCAGGAGACAGGACTAGGTGCACAGAAGATATAGACAGAGTAGAATCTGGGTATTTTGTTGAGCTTTCTTCCTGACAGATGCTGCCCATTTCTTCTCCCTATGTTACACAGTTTTTAAAGGTATGTATGGTACTTAGCACAGGCCTGGCATGTGGTAGATGGTTTAACAAAAGCTAGCTGACTAACCTACCCAAAAGGTGTAATTCAGGGAGAATACTGAGAGAAATATGACATACTAAGAAAATTCATTATAGCCACATATCTGAAAATGCAACCTGCATGTCTATGAGGTAGAGAAGTAATGCAGTGGAAGAGCACTGACTTAGGAAGATCTGATTTCAAATCCGGCCTCTGACACTTATTAGCTGTAGGTCTCTGGGCTAGTCACTTAACTTCTATTTGCCTCAGTTTCCTCAACTGCAAAATAAGGATAATAATAACACCTACCTCCCAGGGTTGTTGTGAGTTCCAAATGAGATAAAATTTGTAATGTGCTCAGAACAATGTCCTTAATAAATGACTTCTTTCCTCTTTCCTTTTTTCTCTTCCTGCCTTTTCTTTCTTCCTTTCTTTTTCTTTCTTCTCTCCTTCCCTCCCTCCCTCCTTCCTTTCCTCCTTCCTTCTTTGTGGAGTGGAAAGAGTGCTAGATTGGGAGTCGGAGGATCTGGCCCAGAGTTCTGTTCCTGAATGCCTATGTGACCTTGAGCAAATCACTTCCTATCTCAAGAAATTTCATTTAATAATACTAACAGTTCACATTTACCTGATCCAAACACAAATCATTTTTTGCAATCATTCACACCAAATGAACAGTTAATGTCTATGATACAGAGTAAAGGATGGCTACTCACTACACTTCACTGGACAAAAAAAAAGAGTCTGTCTGGTGACAGACTAACTCAGAGAGGGCTTATGCCATGTTAATCACAACTTTGAAGAAGCATTTTCAGTTGTCCAATGGTGGCTCACCATTAGAAATTTTATTTTCTACTTTAAAGAAAAATGTATCAATCTTGTCTCTAATTGGACTATAAACTTCCTGAGAGCACTACTTGTACCTTAGTCTTGTTTTGGATCTACTGAATCTAGTTTAGGGTTTAGCCCATAGCAGGTATGTAATACCTACTGATTAATTAATTAATTAATAGATAAATTTAAACTCAATTAATTATTTGCATATCCTCCTAGGAGTATTGTATGGGCTAACTATTTATGTGTGGTTAGAGTGAAACCTCAATCTGAACTTTTCTTATTTTAATAAAACCAACAACTTTCATTCTTATTGTGTGCCCAAGCACCAAGTTCAAGACATTTTTAAAATTGGATTTTTATACTGCTATAGGATATCAATGTGTAGTGGAAAGAAGGGGAAGGGAACAAGCATTTATTAAGCACCACCCATGTTCCAGGCACTTTGCTAAGTGTTTTACAAATATTATCTCATTTGAAAGTTAGGGAGATAAAGAGGGGCTAAGAAGCCATCTAGCTGTAAATTTCATTGAAAGCTGTTCCAGGTAGATCCTGACCCAAGATGAGTCGTTAGAACAAGTCCAGCTGGGAATAATGCTACCTGCTATAATTGGTGAACCATCTTAGGAGGGATGCTGAGAGTCTATACCAAGGTCATTTGAACTTAATTCATAGAACTGATCTGCTAGAATATTCTTGGTGAATGAAGATTAGGATATGGGTATTTTTTTTAAAGGAGCACATTTTAAATAATTGAGAGTTACTGGGTTAAGGTGATGAAATAAGGAATGTAACACAAAAGATAAGGTAGGGTTCGAGAAACTGTTATGGTGAACTCCTGAGTTGAAAAGTTGACTTTGGACAGTAACCTTGGCAAAGAATGCCTTCTGCCTTCTGGAAGAGAGGTGGAGGACTAAAGGTCCAGGAATGTATGAGGAATACATTTTTCAGAACAAGGCCAATGTGTTGATTTGTTTTGCTTGTTTATGCTTATTTATTTCAAGGGAGGGTTCTATCGGCCAGGGAGTGGAGAGGGCTAGTTAATGGGGATATGTCAGAGATGTGAAAGAAAGGGAAAAATAAAGAAAAAAAATCATTAAAGCATTATATTTAAAAGACAAAAAATAGTGACCATGGGGTAGAGTTTTCAGAAAGCCATTTTCCAATGCCAACATATTTTTGTGATGAAAGGAAATTATAATAACAGTAGAACACATTGGTATGGTAGGGGTTGAAAGATTTAATCTAAGAATTCTGACTATACTTCTATAGTTTGGTCATCTTTATCATGTAAATTCAATAAGATAGTGATGGAGCCAGAGGGTCCCATGCACTTCATGTCCTAAAAAGAACATAAATACAAAATAAGCAATCACTGGAATCCCAAATCTAAGCAACCTCTAATATCTGAAGCAAACTAGTGAAGGCCAATACTTTTTGAGAGGAGGGGTACTTTCTGCTTTCAACAGTCTGAAGGTATATGATTGGATTCAGAAGGGAAAAATATATAGTAGCTATTTAAAATTTGAGTTTATCCTTTAACTTTCCCTCTTTAAGTGTATGTCTCCTGATGGTACCACACAGACACACATATACACAAATATCTTGGCTCTTTGGGTCTCTTTTGGAAAATCTCTGAATCTTTGACAAATGAGACAATGTATGGAAAGCACTTTGTAAACCTGACATCAATATATAACATAGAGTTCAAATCTGGCCTCAGACACTTGGCACTTACTAGCTGTGTGACCCTAGGCAAGTCACTTAACCCCATTGCCTAGACCCCCCCAAAAAAGTTAAAAATATATAGTATAAGCTACTACTATCGTCCTTTTTTACTTATATTGTTAGAGTAGGTGACAGCACTTTGAATAAATCTAGAATCAGACTTAAAAAAAATCAAAGTTGAAGTCTTGTTCTTTAGTGCTATTTGTGAATATTTAATCTAACTATGAGAATCTTTCTTTTCTTCACTTTTCCTAAATCGCATTGACTCTAGAATAAGCTACACAGACATTAGAAGACACATTACCAAGACCTTGGGAGTTGGTGCAATTTTAAGGAAAGTGTGTATGGCGGAAGAAATATCCACTAAAACAGCTTCCAAATAAAGAGTGCCCACCATACCTTCATAGCTGAAAAGAAGAAAGAGTACGATGGTTTCTATCTTGAACCGCATTTTTCCTGTGTATTCTTAGAGCAGCTCCTCACTTAGTGATGTGGAGAGCTTCCCAAGCAGGGGGCAGATTAACTTGGGCATTTGCCTTCATAAGCATCTTATTTCAGTGAGTACTTACGGCTTTTGCCAGGTACCGGTCAAGCTATTCGACAGAGTTATTGTCCTCAACAGCAGCAAGTCTTAGCAGAGTTAACTGAGGTGAGATTAGTGGAGGCAGGTATTACACGTCTTTTTGCTAAATGTAAAGAAAGTGATATAAATGAATAGGACCTACTTGTTAGTGACTTGAACCGCTATTGAACTCCAACCAATTTCAATCCAGTAAATATTTATTAAATGCCCTCTATGCACCAGGCACTATGGTCAGTGCTGGGGATACAAACCCAAAATAAATGCCTAGGATGTCTGAAGTAAAACTGATAAAGGCCAATCCATTTTGAGATGAGAGGTACTTTCTGCTTTCAACGATTCAAAGACTCATGATTAGATTTAGGAGAGAAGAAAGATATAGGGATTTCTTGAAATGTGAGTTTTCCAAGACTTTTTCCTTCAAAATATATATCCTAAGTCCCTGCCCTCAATAAGCTTATATTCTATTGGGAAGAAATAACATATATACATATACATATATATATATGATAAACAAATACAAAATACATAAAACCTAATTTCCAGGGGGAGGGTACATATTTAATATGAAGTAAATTCATTCACAAGCGCGTAGGTTCCAGGGCATAATGAAAGGGTAGGATGAAGTGGGACAGGAACACTGGAGGGAGAGAGCCATCGAGGATGGTTATGGGGGAGTAGGGAAGGGAGTATTGGTCTAGGCAACATATAATTTAGAAGCACAAGGATATTGAGTGAAGCCAAAGGGTCTTATTGTCATGCCTTGCACAGTAGCAAAGATAATGTTAATGTGGTTGTCAATTCCTGAGAATGAGGCCAAAAGTAGGGGAAGGGAAGAGCTACCTGCTTGCAGTAGGCCACATGTCCGATACCTGGTCCTGCCGGATGGTCGACGAAAGGGTTCCCTATATTCCTGAGCCCAGGGTTGTTATGAAGAGGTGAGGAATGTCTGAGACCAGTAGCCAGGTCCACTCTTCCCTCACACGAATACATGTTGCTGTTCAGTCACATCTGACTCTCTGTGATTCTATTTGGTGTTTTCTTAGCAAAGATGCTGGAGTGGTTTGCAATTTTCTTCTCTAGCTGACTTTACATCTGAGAAATTGAGGCAACCAGGGTTAAGTGACTTGCCCAGGGTCATAGAGCTATTAAGTGTCTGAGGTCATATTTGAACTCAGGAAAATGAGTCTTCTTGATTCCAGGCCCAGCATTCTACCCACTGTGCCACCTAGCTGCCCGTTGAATACATCTGAATATGCCCACATGAATACGTGAGGACTCATATGACACAATATATGGTACCGCCCTTGGCAAGCTTTTCTTCAGTTCATAAATCCATCTTTTCAAACTTTAAAGCAAGAGCCAGCTTTTATAAGCCTTTCAGATTTCATTTTTCATGCTTGCAGCAGAATTAATATCATGATTAGGCTCAACCTTGGTGAATGAATGACTGAAGCACTTGAAGTAATTACTATGTGCGATGCACGTGCTGACGTCATCAAAAGCAGCAAACAATCCACAAATATTTATCAAGTACCTACCAGTGCCAGGCACTGGTCTAGGTGCCAGGAAAACAAAGCTAAAAATGAAACAGTCCCTTCCCTTAAGGGGCTTATGGTCGATTGAGGGAGATATCATATGTGTATGTAAATAGACTAGATATTTGATGCTGTTTCCTTGCAAAAATACTGGGAGTTTTCTGCAGTATCCTTTATCCAAAAATCACTTGACCAATTGCTTTAAGGTCTTAGATGTCACAAAGACCGTTTGGATTCCTGTCACTCCGGAGAGATAATCTATTCTGGAGCAAACCCTGGTGAAGAACAGACCTGGCTGCTACTCCTAAACCTGCCTCACCTCTTTATACAATCCTTGGCCCAGGAAGCCCTTGCCTTGACCATTAGGCAAAAGACCAGGCACTAGACCAGTGGACCGAGGTAAGCATGCATTTTCTTCCATCCCATCATACTCCTCTGTTTGATATTTAAAGCTCTTCACAATCTGACCCCTTCCTGTCTTTCCAGTCTTCTTACACAGTATTCCCCTCCTCTGTACTCTCTGAATCCAGTCATTCTGGTTTACTCACTGTTCCATCCCCCATCTCCATATTTTCCCCAGTAGAATGTAATCTTCTTGAGGGCAAGGACTGTTTTTGCCTTTCTTTGTAACCCTGAGTTACAAATGCTTGTTGACTGATTGATCAGGGGCATTGAGATGCATTGCAGAACATGCATTTCCATTCCTTCCTCCTGGCAAAGCATGGAAGGGGGATTCTCTCACGTTTTTGTATTTTCCCCAGTTCTGAGGGAGCTTTGAGTCCTAATATAGCTGTGGTCCAGAGAGTGCCTTCGCCCCCTCACTCAAATGGGAAAAGGTTGTGTGAACTCTGGCTCCTATACTTTATGAGGCCCTCTGCGGGCTGAAGTCATGGGAAGAAGAGTGCCAATGTCTACTGCCTCCTCCCCAACTTCAGCCAAAATTTAGCCAGCACCGAGGACATGGGAATTTCTCTTAAACTCCTACTTGCCCAGGCCAATTAATTAATTAACAGGGATTTTGTGCTCAGGGGATTTGTTAATCACTATATTGGATTAATAAGCACAGTTAGTATGAAAACAGTTCACTACCTTTGATATGAACTTTTATTTAAGCTAGTGGGAAGTCACTAAAAAGATTTGAGGAGATAGAACATTCTTGTCATAGGATATTGGATGTAATTAAAAAATGAAGGCTTTGGAAAGAGTGACACACCTTAGGAATTGAATCATGTTAGGGAACATGTATAGGTTTCTTATCTGTAAAATGAGTGTCAGACCCTTCTCACTCTAATGTTCCAGGACTTAATTCTTCCTCCCTCCTTAGTTTCTAGGTAAAACAGTAAATTCAGTCAAAATATTAAGCAGTAAAAGTTGATTGTCATGTACAAACACAAAGTAATAAAAAAGAAAATTAGATCTGCAGAAGAGCTGTCTCTATGGTATTAAAAAAACAGTATTATTTCTGAGCCTTTCATAAATGTGGATTTACATCTTTAAATTTGTATGGAAGAGAGTCTAACAAACCCCAAGACTATTATAACCAACTGTTTGCAATAAGATATTAAAAACTTATTTTCCATGTAACATAGTTTTGATGATTAATAAAAAATGTGATACTTGCTCAGTAGACTTCAGTATCAAACTCCTAAGAGGGCATGTTCCCTTCCTTGCTCAATCCCTTTCTTTTTTTTTTTTTTTGTTTTAGGTAATTGGGGTTAAGTGACTTGACCAGGGTCACACAGCTAGTAAGTGTCAAGTGTTTGGTCTAGAGGCCGCATTTGAACTCCGGTGCTCCTGACTTCAGGGCCGGTGCTCTATCCACTCTGCCACCTTGCTGCCCTGCTCAAACCGTTTCTTCTCTCATTAGAGTATAAGTTCCTTTCAGACTGGGACTTTTTTTTTTTTGCTTGTATTTGTATCTCTGGAATTTAGCACAGTGCCTGGCACATAGTTAAATGTAAATGCTGTAAATACTTGTTGCTCACCTGAACTGTATCTTTTGGCAATTCAACTCCAATTAGTGATTGGGGGGGGGGGAAGGAAGAGTGGTCACAGAATCACAGAACATTGGAGTCAAAAGGAACAGGACCTTAGAGCTCATCTCCCACCTCCACCTGGGCAGAAATACCCATGGTAACATCCAAACTGCTATGTGATAAAGAGGGCTGGAACTTGGATTTGACTCCCTTCTCTGCTGCCTCTGTAACTCTGGGTAGATCCTATCACCCCTCTGGGCCCCAGTTTCTTCATCTGTGAAATAAGACATTCTACTAAAGGATCTTTAAGATTCCTTTTAGCTCTATATCCTTTAAGATTTTACACACTGGGAGCTCCCTACCTGTTGAGGCAATCTGTGGTATTTTTGATCAGCCTCAATTATTGGGAAGTTTTTCTTGTGTTGGGCCAGAGTCTAGGCTAGTTAATTCTGACCTCTGGGGCCCAGAAGAGCAAATCGAAACCATCTACCATATAATAGCCTTTCAAATATTTAAATATAACTCTAAGACCAATAAACAGGTATTTATTAAACATCTACTCTGTGCCACACACTCTGCTTTGGAAACAAAAGAAGGTAAAAAACTGTCCCTGCTCTTGAGGAGCTCACAATTTAGTGGGAAAAGACAACCTAAGATAAAGATCCCCCCCCTTTCCCTTTTCCAGGGAAAACATGCCTAGTTCCAACAACCAATCCTCAGATGGCAGGTTAAGAATCTGTCCTCTAAACTAACATTAATTTGTTAATCATTACTCTTTGGGTCTATTATTTCAAAGGGAGGAAATAAGTATTTATGAAGAGCTTACTCTGTACCAGGCGCTCTTCTAAGCGCTTTACAAATATCTCGTTTGATCCTCATAACCCTAGGAGGTAGATGCTATGTTTGGCATGTATGTAGACATGTGGTATACATACCACACAAGTATATATACATGTATAGGTGCACACACATATATGTATATACATATGTGTAGTGTGTATGTAGCTTCATGCTAGAATTTTGTCGGTCTCATTGTTCCATACTTTAAGGAACGAAATTTCTTCTATTTCTTCTTCCCCTCCTATTCCTTCCCCTCTTCTTCCTTCTCCTTCTCCATATTTTCTTGTTTCTAGTCCTGTGGCATTCCTTTGTCTTTTCAAAGATAACCAACAGTGAACTAGTTCTTTCAGTCCTGGGGGGTGTATTTCATGTGTATATATGTGTATACACAGCCTTACAAATTCTCCCCCCTCCCCCCCATCCCAACCCCCAAGGGATGTCCCTAAACATTAAACCTCACGGGAAAACAATAGATAACTGGGCAGGAGACCTGGGTTCAAACAGGACCCTGTGGCTTTGAACCAAGAATTTACTCTCTGCAAGACAAGGGGGTAGGGCTAAGTATTCTTTCATGAACTTCATTATCAACTCCCTCCCTGCTTTAACTATTTATTGTCAAAAATAAAAATACTTTTCCTGGCTTAGGGTAGCAGCACAAGCATGCTTACTTCCATCAGCAATATTTCATTTTTCTAATCAGACCATCTGACTAATCCAGAATTTAGCATAAATCTGGCATCGTAGGTGATTAGTAAATGCTTGTTTACTTATGCCAGTGTATTAGGCAACTCTAACCTATGAGAAAGCCTTTTCCAATCCTTCTTAATTCCAGTGCCCGCCTCTGTTAATTATCTCCAACTTATCCAGCATATAGCTTGACTGTATAAAATTTCTACAAGTTGTTTCTCTCCCCCACTGTCCCCAATTAGACTGTGATGTCCTTTAGAGCAAGGACACTCTATTTACCTTTCTTTGTATTCCCAGTATTGGCACAATGCCTGGCATATAGCAGGCACTTCATGTTTACTGTCTGATCTAGTAAATTCCTTATTGACTAAAAATGAGGGCTTTGAATGAGATAATCTCTAAAGTCTCTTCTGGACACAAATCTATGACTAATCTAGGTGTTTGCCTTCACATATAAGAACAAGCTGGACTCATAGATGTTAAAATTGCTTCCTTTGATTAGGGCTCAAGAATCCTGGATTTGGAGTCAGAAGATTTAGGTTCATCTGATTAATGAATTGACTGATCAAACAGACTCCCGGGGATCTATAATGAACCTCCTGACAGGTTGATGGACCCAAGATGCAGGATGAGACATACATTTTTGGACATAAACGATATGGCAATTTGCATTTATATAATTATTGTATTCTATTGATTACAAGAGTTTTTTTTTCTTTTTTCACTGGGAGAATAGTCAGAGGAGGGGTTCCTCCCCCATCCCCCAAAAGAGATCAGAAGGAATATCAGTAAGAATCAAGGACAAGCAGGTCAGATGTGAAGTTATATGTTGAAATGTTTTATATATTTAAAAAGACAAGCAACCTCTACATAAAGAGATTCCCCATTTTATTTGTAATCCTTTCCTCTGTTCTACGATATATATAGAAATGTTAGTTTTCTTTGTTGTTTA